TGTGCTGGTGAGTCTGTAGAGGGCTTTAAGACCTGACCAGCAATTCATCACAGAAGTAAGAGAAACTGGAAACCAGGAGGTATAGGTAACTCTGCTCCAGGGAAAGGCAGCCTCATTGAATGGGACCCCCACAACCACTGCCTTGAAGGGGTGACCAAGGTTTCCCACAGGTGAGGGCCATACTGGGTGACCAGAGGTCACATGTCAAATTGAGGATTTATTGGTCCACTTCTAATATTCAAAACACATGGGCCCTAGTGGATACTGTGGCAGAGCGTACATTAATTCATGGCAATCCCTAAAAACATCAGGGCCAGTGGATAGCAGTGGATGGGTAAGGGGATGAAACCATAAAATAAAGTTTACTTGGCTCATTCTGGGAGTGGGGAATTGTTGCCCCCCCCCAGGAGTATAAGGTGTGCATCAAGGGAACATTTTAGAAGTAGATGCCTTGCTGGATCACACAGTACATACTACTGAGGGAGAGTTTTAGCTATAAAGACGATTACTCGGGAGTGGGAAAAATGGGAGCCAGTCAAATTGCCCACCCCACGGAGGATGATGAATATAAAGCAATACTGTCTCTCTGGGGGTCAAAATGAAATTACTGAAACTATTCAGGAACTAGAGTGAATGGAAGTTATCTGCCCAGCCCAGAGCCCTTTCAATACCCCATTTGGCCTATCAGGAAGCCAGATGGCTGATGGAGAATAGCTATAGATTACCGGGAGTTAAATAAGGTGGTGCCTCCCGTTCATGCAGGGGTGCCCAACGTTGCATTGCTAACTGATCAGCTGGTGCAGGAAATGGGGTCCCCTAGTATTCCCCTATCTGATGAATCCAAGTTCAATTTGCATTCACATGGAATGGATGAAATTGGACTTTCAGAGTACTTCCCCAAAGTTACCTCTACAGCCTTATGGTTTTTCATGGGTTGCTGTCCTGGGACCTGGCCCTGTTACCCTGCCCTCCTTTTGAAAGGAGGTTCCACTATATAGAAGACATAATGCTAACTTCAGAGTGCCTTACAGACTTTGGAACATACCAGAGCATCTGAAGGAGCAAGGATGGGAAATTAATCCACAGAAGGTTCAAGGGCCCAGTACACCAGTAAAATTCTCAGGAGTTTTATGGTCAGGCAGAACAGGCATGATACCCAGTGTGGCAGTTGAGAAAATCTTACAAAAGCTTATACCAATAACTAAGCAGTTACAGGTATTTTGGGGACTTCTCGGGTATTGGCCAATTTTTATACCTAAACTTGCTCAGGTTACCCGCCCCATGTATAATCTAATAAAAAGAGGTGCTACATGGGAATGGGATATAGAGGCCCAAGAGGCTTTTGGGCTGGCCAAGGTACTGGTTGGGCAAGCCAAGCATCTGTGTGCCCCAATACCTTGGTATCCCTTCCTCTTGGAAGTCACCAAGAACCCTGAAGATTATGGGTGGGGCTTGTGGCAACAACAACCAGGAGAGGTTCTGGTCCCAATCATGGAAAGGGAGAGGAGTCCCATTACACAGCTCTAGAACAGCAACTGCAGGCTGTGTACAAAGCATTGCAACAGGTGGAATCCATTACAGGCCCCACCTCCATTACTGTAAAAACTGAATACCCCATAAAAGGATGGGTGGAGGGGCTGTTAGTAAAGCCCGTGTCAGGGGTGGCCCAAAACCAAACACTGCAAAGATGGCATACATATTTTCAACAGTGAGGTGTGGTGTTAGCAAGCCTGATAAGCAATGCAATGCAAGTAATAGGATGGGTCTCATTTCAAGGCACAGAGCTTCTCCCTCCACCTCCTATAGTTGACCATCCAGCAAGACATGACCGAGTGCTAGAAGCTCCCCTAATTCCTGTTGATGCCTGGTATACCGATGGCACTAGCAGGGGTGCCAGAAAAGAATGGGTGACAGTGGCAATACAGATGAACACTGACACTATATGGTTAGAGAGGGGAGGAGACAACAGTCAATGGGCTGAACTGAGAGCTGTATGGATAGTAATAATGAGGGAGACTTTGTCAGCTACAATTTGTATTGACAGTTGGGCCGTGTTTATGGGTTTAACCTTATGGATGGTTCAGTGGGAGAAAGAAAACTGGCAGGTGATGGGACGGCCATTATGGAGACAACAAATGTGGAAGGACATATATAACAAAATGCAGGAGGAGCTAGTGCCCCTGGTAGTTTACCATGTGGCTGCCCCCACCTGGTGAGTCTTCCTGGGAATCAGGAAGCTGATGCCTTCACCAAGGGGAGGGCTGTCTGTCCTCAGGTTCCCCTGGGAGCAGGTCACTGGATTCATATCAATTTGGGCCACAGAGGAGCTGACACGGGATGGAGAATAGCAAAAGCAGTCAGCATTCCCGTAAAATATGCTGACATCCAACAGGATGTCCAGGCCTGTGAGGCATGTTCCCAGTTATGGCCCTAGAGGATGGATGCCATGATGGGACATGTGCACAAGGCAACTGCCCTTGTGAGAGACTGGCAAGTAGATTATATAGGGCCCCTGCCAGTCAGTGAGGGGTGTAAATATGCTCTCACTTGTGTGGACACTGCAAAAGGCTTTACACAGGACTTTCCTTGCAAGAGAGTGATGGCAAGGCTACTACTATTAAGGGGCTTACTGAACTCAGTGTCATTTATGGGTGTCCAAGGCAAATTGATAGCGACAGAGGCACTTATTTCACAAGTAGAGATGTGAAAACTTGGGCTGAGGATAATCAGGTTCAATGGTATTTCCACCTTCCACACAATCCTACAGGACCAGGGTTAATTGAAAGTAAAAACGGGTTGCTAAAGGAACAGTTGAAAGTCTTAAGCCCAGAAGGAACCCTGTGTGGGTTGAAAAAGGCCCTTCGAGAAGCCATAAGGTTGTTAAATGAAAATCTCAGTACCAGGGGTGGGTTGCCTCCCTATGAGCACTTGGCCAAAGAGACCCCAGAGGTCCCCAAAACTACAAAGGAGATTTCCAATAATGTTGGTTTCACACCTGAAGTGGATGGTAAGACCTAATTATTGAAGAAGCCATGTAATGCAAGCACAGGAGTGGGAGAAATCAAGCTTGGACTAAGCTGGAAACTCCCTACCAGTGGATGGGTGGCTTTCATAGTGCCAGAAGGCGCTATGCAGATGGCTGGGCGAGAACTGTCCCCTATTATCTTGTTCAATGAGGACTCCTAGTGTGGAACTATCAACATGCAAAGCAAGATGTCACTGCTGGTGCAATAGTAGCTTGTCTACTGTTTGAACAACCAGCTAATTATTGATTGGACCTAATGCCCACTCCTAGGGTTGGAACACACATCTGGTATTGCAGACCAGGCCAACACCCTGTGGTAGGAGAGTTTATAGACCCCAGTGGAGAAGCCACTCCAATTGAATTGTTAGATATATGAAATATGCCTACTAAAGTACCATTCAAGCATTTGTGTTTACAACCACGAGCTATTATTGCAGATACTGTTTACATGATCTTGCTTCTTTCTTTTTTTGTGTTTTTATCGTAGGTGGAGTGCCACTAAATCGAGCCATCAGACCATGACAGAGGATGCAGAGAATTGAAGTGTCCAGTGCCCTATTACAATGGAAGAAAGGTAGCCCCACTGCCTCTGAGGCTCAGGGATATTAGTGGAAAAGGTGGGCGGAAAGTTTTGTGAGAGCCAGAGGAAGGGGTGGAGAGTGTGACCCAGAGGCTGTTCCTCTGACCCTTTAATATCAAGCCATGGTCTTGCCTCCTTCCCATGCTCTGCAAAGAAATCACTCCCCTTCCCTCTTCCAGTCAATCAGTTGACCCTAGCCACTTGCAGGGGAGGGGCTAAGGGTATAAAAGCTGGGAAAACCAAGAGGCTGATCTCTCACCATTTTGTAAGGCTGTCCAGAACCACAGGATTTATATGTGGGTGTGGACTTTCCAACACAGCCATGAAAGGAGGGGGAGCAGAGGTGCCCACTTGTCTGTAAATAAACCCGCACCCCAAGCTCAGTTACCAAGTCCAATAAACTTGTTAAGACTCTTCAAACCAGGGTTTGGAGAATGTTTTCCTCAGGCTGTTGCAAGGACTGTGGGAGGAGGGGATTGGATACCACGTGTACCTCCCAGAAATGAGTTTAACTTACAGGTGTTTAGCTAGTTTGACTTAGAAATCTAGTCCAGGGATCTGAGCAGGAGGACATGGAGGATTCCTGGGTCCAAGGCTAGCTGGAGATCACATAAGTATATCGTCTGAAAAGACATATATTTACATACTCTGAAAAATGTGTTTTTCCTAATTGAGAAATAATATCAATGGGAGAATAAATGAGATAGTTCAGAGGAAGCACTAGAGACATGCACCTTGTTTAAAATGTATATTTTCAAAGTATATAGGAAGGAATTTCAAATTTGCTAACACTAAACCTTTAAGATCCTTGTCTTGGTCAAACTGTTTCATGACTTCTTAGTCTCAAGAAGTCTTATTCACTCCTCAGTAACTAAAACATAATTTATCTTACATGTTTTCTCTAAGAGTTCCAGATAACAATGTAACATAGACACTTCAGTGACAAAGTACTGTTCATATTGTCAATGGTGGTTATGCATGCCTGTCTTCATGTACCTGAAAGCCCAGGTATGAGGTAGACAGCTCATTAATTGCCATAAGATAGTATAATAAAGTTAAGCATTGCTGAACTCATATTATCTATGAGCTGTATAGCTAGAGTCCTTCTATTTGGATCTTGGTCTTTCTGAGTCAACAGAAACTTTGCAGACATTTCTAACTGAAGCATAGAACACATAAGCCTGGAAATAAGTTAAAATATTCAGTCTACAATTTGAAATTTCTTCTATGAACTTTTATATAATTGTGAAAACTATGTACCAGAAATCCCATTTCTGATATACAGCATAAATCATTTCTTGGGAATACCAAGAAAGAAAATGAAACCAAGAAAAAAATAGTTTTGGAAACAAAATGATTAGAATATTTAACACGAAGAAAAAGGTGTAGGTTTTTTAAAATAAGGAGTTCTTCCTGAATTTGTGTGTCATTCTTGCACAGGAGCCATGCTAATCTTCTCTGTGTGATTCCAATTTTAGTACATGTCCTGTCAAAGTGAGCACTGAAAAGTATAAGTTATGGGATATTTTTGAAGGGTGGAGAATTGACATAGTATCTCAGTCTCTATCACATGTTGGTCTAGAATTCACAGCACAGACCTCAGCTTTTATAGTCCTAGAATTAGAGAGATGAACTACAAAAACTGGTTCCCGGGGGTTCTTTATAGGATTATACTATTTGGGACAAAATCTTTTTCTAAAGGTGGCTTCGTGTGCCTTGCGTTACATATATTCTCTTCTAAGAATAAATCATGTTATTCACCAAAAACAAAATTGGCTGAATTCATGTTCAAATTGATTATAACATACAAAACCTCTCAGTTCATTTCTGCATTAATTTAAAAAATCAGAGTGCTGCACTCCCATCCTCAGACCACTTGGGGTAAGTCTATAGCCCAGCCCTCCACACTTTGACTCCCCAAGGCACATTCACCCTTCCATCTCCCCTGCTGTTCTCTACTCCTAGTTTGGGCCCTGCGCCATTCCTAGTCTTGGGTCCCCAGACACCTGGGGACCCAATACTGCTTCCTGATCCTTTTCACCCAGAACAACTTAGTGCCTTTCTTGGGACCCAGGAGCACCGCTTCTGGACCTGGCCCTGCCCTCACCTCTCTCTGCTTCCCAGGACATGCACCACCGGCTGTCTCCTAGCCTGCACTTCCATCCTCAGACATCTTGGGGTAAGTCTATAGCGCAGCCCTCTGCGCTTTGACTCCCCAAGCCACATTAACCTTTCCATCTCCCCCGCTGTTCTCTACTCCTAATTTGGGCCCTGTGCCATTCCTAGTCTTGGGTCCCCAGACACCTGGGGAACCAATACTGCTTCCTGATCTTTTTCACCCAGACCAACTTAGTGCCTTCCCTGGACCTTAGGAGCACTGCTTCTGGACCCGGCTCCACCCTCACCTCCCTTTACTTCCCTGGTCCTGCAACAATCGCTAGCCTCTATCTGGGGCTGACAGCCTCTTTCTGGGGCTCCGAGGCTTAACTTTCCACTCCTTCATACTATGCATCCAGTACAACCCAGCTACTCAATCCACTCCCTGGGAAATCTTGGGGCTTCTTCCCACCCCATTTGCCTTTGCATCCCTGCATGGCATGGTCACGGCCAGGATCTCAGGTCAGTCCAACACTCAAGTTCCTGAGGCCAAAATCATTATTAGAAGACTCCAGACCTAAGGAGAAAGTCTGAAAACTTCTGACCCACATTGGAATTGGGCCACC